GTTAGTTGTTTTTTTTAAAAAGTATTTTCCACAAAATTGAGATGCTGGGAGATGCAGCACACACTAGCAGATGCAATACACACGGACACATGTATCCACCCATGTAGATGCACCTGTGTACATGCATAGGGGAGGAAGTCTTGAAGTTTAAATGAATACAACCACCATTTACATGAGAATGAGTCTATCTAGGCTACTAAAAAAACTTGAAGTTTAAAAACCTAGAGAACTTGATGTAAAGACCTGATTTTCTAAGGTTGTCTTCACATGTTTATTTTTATGCAAATACAAATTGTAGCTCACAATGTATGGATTGTAGATTCTTTGAGTTTTTGAGAGTCTAAATGTATGTTCACGTTGAGTATTAAAAATCTGCAGCAGTACTATTACAACCTCATTGGTTTCTCTCTGCGAACAGCTAACTGTACAGGCCCTATAAGCGAGTGTGGCTAAAACCTGCTCCTAGGAAACCGGGCTTCCTCTCATGTGGGGATATTTTCATGAGGTATTTGGATTTGGGAGAGTGTGAGTTTTCAAAGTAAAGTACATAGTAGGACACTTCTTATGCTTGCAACCCAGCAGCAGCAAGGTCCAAATTAGAACTCAGCCCCGATTTCCCTGAAGTTTTACTTAGTTTCTTAAGCCACAGTGTTAGAATATGGATAGGTATGAACTTTATGCAATTGTTGCAATTTATGTGTAATTTGGACTTAAAGGCAGACTTTAGTTGTTGATATTAAGATCAGGGCGACAGGGGGCTCGGGGAGAAGGTGTTCCAGAAGCCAGAAGAGGACGCTGCAGGGCAGAATGGACACCTATCACAAGCCGTTTACAAAGGTGGATAGGCCGGTTGCCGTCAATTACTGTTCTGAGTGTCTCAGTAAAGATGCTCACAGATCTGAAATGGAAAAAAATATGGACGTCTAAATGGAACACATTCATAATCTAGGGCAGCAGTTCTCAACCTGTGGGTTGCAACCCCTTTGGGGGTCGAACGAACCTTTCACAGAGGTCACCCGATTCATAGCAGTAGCAAAATGACAGTTATGAAGTAGCTACAAAAGTCATTTTATGGTTGGGGGGTCACCACAACACGAGGAACTGTATTAAAGGGTCACGGCATTAGGAAGATTGAGAACCACTAATCTAAGGACTGCTTAGTTAACAGGTACCTTTTTTACCCATTCATTTGGGGGATAAGTTGCTATTTCCTTGTCTTTTTGCCACTAGCAGGTAACAATTAGTTGAATACTGACTGAATTCATTGAATGTCTTGTACTTTCAGGAGATATTCTTGGCTCTTCTATCAATGGCTTAGCCTCATTGATTAGGATGCCTTATGGTTGTGGGGAACAGAACATGATAAATTTTGCGCCAAATATTTATGTTTTGGATTATTTGACTAAAAAGAAACAACTGACGGAAAATTTGAGAGAAAAAGCACTCTCGTTTATGAGGCAAGGTAAGCATTTTAGAAACATAATTTAGTTAAGTTTTTTCCTGTATGTTTTCAAGGACTGTTCTGTGGACTGCATTTCAAAACCGCTTTTGTCTTTGGCATGTGGTGGTGGGGGGGAGGGTGCTGAGATGTGCTAGAAATGCAGTCGTGAGACCCTGTGACTCCAGCTCGGGGCTCTCTATTCATTGCTGAGAGGCCGGCAGTAATGGCGCATGACCTATGGCTAGCTTTCTGGGTGGGGGGGTGGGGGGGTTTGTAGTGACTAAAGACCCTGAAACTTCCAACTCCTCAAAAACATAAAGCTTGAAGTGTTCATTGATTCATCAGGCATCCTTGGAATAGTCTGTGCGCCAGGACCAGTTCTGATGGAGGAAGTGTGAGCCTTTCCTCTCACTGTTCAGCGAAGTGTCTTGACTATGGCACCGAGTTCTACAGGCAGACGCGGTTGAATTGGTGAATGTTTTGCTGTGTATATTTTTGTCTCTGTAACTTGAGAACGGTGCTACTAACGAATTGGGCACCTACCAGGTGGTAGGTAGTGTCCTGAGCACTTTGCATCTAGTTTCTCCCTGAATGGCCACCATTAGTGTTAGTTTCAGCCTCATTTTTACAGATGGGGAAATGAAGGCACAGTAAAGTCAACCCCCCTGTCTCCAGTGACAGAGCAAGTGCGTGACAGGACTGAGATCTGGGCTCCGTCTCCAAGGCCACCTTCTTAGCTTCCATACCCAAGAGAAAATGAAGTGTTCTGAGAAAATGTTAATGATGCAACTTTTAGTTCCTGAAATATCACAAAAGCCAAACACCCAGAGTTGCAGTCTCAGTTTTGCACTTACTTATTAGGGACCTTTAGGGAAAAAACACCCCAAAGCTGTGTGTTCTTGAGTTTATCTGTCTACAGGCTTTGCAGGCTCTATGTCACAAACTCACGGACATTAGAATGACTCAATAGGTCTGCATGCTCCTTGAGCAGTACCATTTAAGAAAAGTTTGGTTCAACATTTTCCAACTCCTAAGTTCTTTCTTCTCCTCCCTCCTTGCTTGTCCCCCCACCCTCTCACCCTTCCTTGTCCCCCCATCCTCCTAGATTCCTCCCAGGGATTAGGTTAAATGCAAGGTACAGGCAGGCTACTGTGCTTTCCTACGAACCTTCCCACCATTAACAGTGGAAGACTCGGTAAGTGTAAAAGTGCCCTATGCCTCAGATTCCTTATTGCAGGGAATTTAGGGTAAGCAAGTCTCTACACAATGAGGAAAACTAGATGCTTTGCAATAATAGTAATAACAACTAAGCCCATTAAAGTGCTTTACAATATAGTTATTAACTTCTTACAAACACCTATGGGATATGTGTACTGTTAGATTGTCATTTTATAATGAGGAAACTGAGGCACAGGGCAGTTTTAAATGTACCCGTGAGTGCTTGCTCTCTCCCTCAGCACTGTTTTTAGATGGGTTTGATAATTCATTGCAATCACCACATAGAATTTAGATCATGCTCATGATAATAAGGTTTATCAGGGAAGTTAACAGGTTACAATTCAGATGAGAAATACTTAGGATACAGTTGCTCAGACAGTTTCTTCTCTGCTATATCCACAGGCAGGACTCTCTGGCTCTCAGCTTCAGTCTGGCTTCTGCCCTGCTCAAACAGAATTTAGAGTTCTTTTAGGGCTGCCAATAAGTGCCCAAACGGCATGCTACTCTGCTGTAAGCCTCAACCCAAAGGCACTCAGCTCTAACTCCGTACGTCAGCAAAACCCAGCCTCCCAGAACTAAGTGCCCAGAAGCACCTTACTTCACAAACCCGAAGCACTCAGCTTTACTTGCTCTGTGTCCTGGAAGTCCACTCTCTGTCTCTGTATTGTGCTCTGGCTCCTGGTTCTACTGCTGCTGCTTGTCTACCATTCCTCTGATGTCTAAAGCTGTCTCCTGGATCAAGGAGGTTTAATGTGCAAGGAGCTTGCGGTTCAAAGGCTGTGCGTCCCTCTTGTCTTCTTTCTCTTGATGGCAGTGAATTTCCCCCTTCTGTTTCATACCCAGAAGGATGGCAATCACAACTCTTCTTAGTCATCATTCACGGCGGAATTATATAATCCAATGAGTATCTTCCTCCACTTTTTGCCTTGATCCATCAGGAAAACGAAAATCATTTGGTGGGAGTAACAAAAGCGATGGCTAGACGAGCCAAAACAAACAATTCACTGCATTACAGTGCCTGGTTTATAAGGAGCAAAACTGGGCTTTGGAACCAAGATGGTCTGGCTTTGGAATCTACACCCTTCCTTTGTTTTCTGGGTTGTTAGAGGCCATACGATAGCATGGAAGAGGACCAGGAATGAGTCGAATCCTCTTTGTTATAGATAATGTGCAAGAGGTTTCGGCGGAACTTTTGATAAAATAGTAAGGGAAGAAATGGACTTCTACAGGAAGGGGAAAGTTTAGAATCTGGGCTGTTAGGTTAGAGCAACGTGAGTTTGTGATGTAAAGTAAAATAAATTAGACAGCGCGGGACTCTTTGGATCAGACTGAATAAACATACTACTCACAAGTGTGAACCTAGGCCTTTAGTACTTGTGTGTCAGTCAGGATGACAATGGATGGAGTCGGGTTTTACAGGAGCTGAGTTCCCTCAAAAGGCTCTGTCCAAGAGTGAAGTGTTTAGTCACCACTATGTCTTCCCTCAGTGCACTGTGGGCGTGAGAGCACAGGGGATCAGGTCTGGGGTTTTTAGAGTAGAAACGGGAAGGGAATACTTGGGGTTTGGAAAAGGTACAGAATGGAAAAGGCAAGGTATGGAAAAGGCAAAAGGAGGTAAAAGGAAGGTGCATCTAGCCTGGCCACACTGTTACCAGGGTCCTGTCTTTTGTTCAAGTGCACATAGCATTGCCTTCCTGTGAGCAAGGTATGTAAACAGAAAGAATGCCCCTCCCCCTCTTGCAGCAGGATTAATTTAGCCAGCCTGCGTTTTTTTATTTTATTAATGATACAGTAGGTTAGAAAAGCCAAGAGGTCAGTTTCCCAATCTCTTGGGCACCTTCTTTGATGTTACCATCGTCACGGAGATGGTGAGGTTGACCAGGCGCCCTATGGGGCCTGCACGTGAGCAAGAGACAGGAAGCAACTGTTTTCTTCTGACGAGGGGCTGGGAGAGAGAGACCCAGTTCCCAGCCTCCTCCTCAGAGAATGTTGTTGACCGCAGACCTCAGTTCTGCTGGCCCAGTCGGGACTGTGGAGTAGATCACCCTCCAAATCAAGCTGTCGTTGTGAAATCCAAGTAGAGGAACCGGAGTTAGTGTCCAAAGATCTTTACCAGGTAGGATGGCAGGCACAGACTAAGGTTCAACGTGAGAGAAAGACAAGGCGTTGTGAGTCAGGAAGGACTTGCTGCATGAGAGGACAGAATAAGGGAGACAGGCTGGGTGGGAGATGCCTTCTTGTGAGGAAGGAGCTGGGGGGGTATCCACCCCTCAGTCGAGTGCCTCAAAATGCGCAGTCTCCTGTGCTGACCTACAGGGCATTTGAAAAGTGGTGGACGGAGCCGCTTGGGGTCGCGCTTTTCATTGGGAAGTCAGTGCCTCGTTTCAGAGACGATGGGTTCTCCTTTGCCATTGCATTTGCCAACGGTCTGTAAGTGTGTTGTGGTGGTTTTTAATTTGTAAAGAAATTAAAGTTGCTTTGCCATGAGTCATGATTATATTATGTAAATGCCATTTATGAGCAGCACATTGTTTTACTGAAATCATGGTTGGCCCAGGCGGACTGTAACCTAACCCACTGTTTTGTGTGGGGGTTTGTTTTTGGTCCAAACAACAGCCAGCTCATGTGGTGCAGTGCCTTTCGATGTTGAAAAGAAAAATTGAACTGTAAAACAAGAACTATTTTTGATAACCA